AGCCTCTCATGAGTAAGCTTCACCATGTTCTAAACCTTTGTCTGCAAATTCTTTAAGCATATTACCATCACCCCAAGTTCTTCAGTTTTAGCCCATCTCACTCACTCATTACCCCATCCTTCCCCCCCCCCATTAGAACGTTCCTGCCATTATAAGTCAAATCCCCTCACCCATCACTGCATCGTCCTTATGCATCTGCACATATCTCTCACTATAAGCTCGCGTCTAGCACTCGTGCACCCACTTCACTCCATCATCACCCATCTCCCTCGATCATCACCCCATCTCTCTCGCTCATCACCCATCTCCTTCACTCACCAGCCCATCTCCCTCGCTCTCACACCCATTTTCCTCACTCATCAGCCCATCTCCCTCACTCATCACTCTATTTCCCTCACTCAACAGCCCACCTCCTTCACTCATCACCCCATCTCCCTCATCATCACCCCATCTCCCTCGCTCATCACCCCATCTCGCTCGTAACCATCGTGCTTGCCAGTATAGTGGATCAGGAGATTGTCGATGCAATCGCGGCATTTGTGGACTGCTGACATGTAGAAGATGGTATCACACCGACGGCACGTTGTCCAAACTCGACGATGCCATCAAAAAGTATGGACACATTTTCAAAGCCCCTCTTATTTTCCTGCCCCTATTTGTCCATCCTTGTTTCACCCTTATCCTTTCTTGATTACGACCCACTTCTCCATGTTTTTCTCACTCTCATTTTCCACCACCCTCTCTATGCTTCTCACATTTGGTTCGTCCCTACTACACTCTCTATCACCCTCACAATCCATCCATGGTTCGTCCTCTCTCTCCCTCCACACCCCCTCTTTACCCTCGCTAATCTCCCACTACTCTCTCTATGTTTCCCCCACTCATACCGTCCATCCGACTTTCTCAAACCCTACCTCTCCATCCCTCTCTGTTGCTCCCTCCTCCACCCTCTCATACCATCCCTGCTTTGCCCTCTTTTTTAATTCACTCCCTCCTTGTCTATCTCTCCACGACTACCTCCTGGGAGGTCCCCGTCTCCCTGGAAAAGTTTCCCTGCATAGCCCATTCCCTTCCCTCTCCTCATCCCCTGCAGCTCCCTCCTCACTTGCTATTCTTCCTCCTTGCAGCTCCATTCCTCACTTCCTATTCCTCCTTGCAGCTCCATTCCTCACTTGCTATTCCTCCCCGCAGCTCCCTCCCTCACTTGCTATTCCTCCCTGCAGCTCCCTCCCTTGCTTGCTATTCTCCCTGCAGCTCCCTCCCTTGCTTGCTATTCCTCCTGCAGCTCCCTCCCTCGCTGCTATTCCTCCCGAAGCTCCCTCCCTCACTTGCTATTCCTCCCTGCAGCTCCCTCTCTTACTTGCTATTCTTCCCTGCAGCTCCCTCCCTCGCTTGCTTTTCTTCCTCCTTGCAGCTCCATTTCTCACTTGCTATTCCTCCCTGCAGCTCCTTCCCTCACTTGCTATTCCTCCTTGCAGCTCCCTCCCTCCACTTTCTATTCCTCCCTGCAGCTTCCTCCACACTTGCTATTCATTCCCCCTTGCAGCTCCCTCCCTCACTTGCTATTCTTCCCTGCAGCTCCCTCCCTCACTTGCTATTCATTCCTCCCTGTAGCTCCCTCCCTCGCTTGCTATTCCCCCTGCAACTCCCTCCCTCCCTCACTTGCTATTCCTCCCTGCAGCTCCCTCCCTCGCTTGCTATCCCTCCTTGCAGCTCCATTCCTGGCTTGCTATTCCTCCCTGCAGCTCTCTCCTCACTTGCTATTCATTCCTCCCTGCAGCTCCCTCTCACTTGCTATTCCTCCCTGCAGCTCCCTCCCTCGCTTGCTATTCTTCCCTGCACCTCCCCCCTTACTTGCTATTCCTCCCTGCAGCTCCCTCCCTCACTTGCTATCATTCCTCCCTGCAGCTCCCTCCCTCACTTGCTATTCATCCCTCCCTCCCTCCCTCCATCCCCCTTCACATGCTGCCCTGTTTCGCCCTCTATCCTGAATCTGTTTGTTGTTTGCACACACGCTAATCCCACTCTTGACGGATGTGTTTGGTGATGCTCAAGCCTCGAATTTCAATATCACCAAAGGTCGCCCTGCAGCACGTGGGTGCAAAATATTGGAAAATCTACCACATATGCTCAACCATGTTCGATATCCTTCTATAATGATGTTCATGAGCTCATGATACCCTCCTTGTCTTTGCAGGCAATTGATACAGGAAAGAACACGCTTGCAAGCACGTCTTTCAAGGTAAATTGGAAAGGAAGCCAATCCATAGTGTTCCGAACGGGCTGCACACATCCAGAGCTCCAGGTGACATGTCTAAGTCGCAGCATATTTTGGAGACCATGGAGAGTGATGGCGAGGGTCTTAGTACTCAGCTGCACATAAAGAAAAGGGTGGTGATTGTGGGGGACGAAGATTTCACCAAATACTCAAGTCAATCTCTCTATGGGCGCGCGTGTTCTTCCTTCGAGGACAGGCCGGTTTAATGATGTAGCGGTCCTGAGTGAGGAGGACGTCACCCCGCGCTGGTGAGCGGTCCACGAGATGGGTCATTTGGCATGCTAGATTTGCTATTGTTATTGTTCTCAACGTGTTCGTTCTACATACAAGAGAGGTGGAACAAAAGGAGTTGGCTGTGTGTGCGCTTCTACAAGGCCACCGTGTGAGACTCACATATCTCATCGCCCGATCATAATATGGGAGGATGCTGAGAATGAGTATCAAGTACTGGACATTGAGAATATCCTTCGAGTCGAGTGTGCATGTATTCCAGTGGGTGACGATGTTTTTGTTCATAATGTAATCACGTTCTATTAAAATGAGTGCAACAACCTCTCAATCCTACATACAGGGCCCCTGTAAGATGAGAAAGCGCTGCGTTGATATGGTATTAATGAGGATTCTTGTACCGTGATCCCCTAGATATGCCACATTCGGTTTTGCTTAAGACTGATTTGGAAAAAAATGACATTATGTTGCTAAGAGGAACGGATATATAACACGGGTTTCTTGTTAAGAGTCGTGAGAGATAATTGGAAACAGATGATGGCCTGCACCTTCATATGTCAAGAAAAATCCACGAATAATACAAGGCCAAATAAATGGGACTGTGTTTATCGGCGATGCCGGCAAGGGAGTCTACGACACAGGGGGGGGCCGGCGATGACTCGTCGACAAGACCGTCCTCTGAAGCAAGGTGTGGTTTTTGAGGAGGCCGTCATCTAGTCGACTAGCCAATTGACGAGCTCTGGTCAACGGGGTGTCGTTTGGCGAGCTCGTCATTTGATCGGCTAGTGAGTAGCGCGAGCTCTGACGGAAGGGGTGCTTTTTGACAGGCCACGTTCTCTGACTAAGGGGCGCTGTTCGGCGAGCCTCGTCTTGGCAAACTATTCGATCGGATTCGCTTGACTTCGAAACCCGCGCGAAGGTGTGCGAATTTGCTCAGGATGTTTTAGCGAAAATCAACATGCAAAACAGCTTTATGTGCTTGACGGTGGACACCTGGTGAAACCGGAGACACGTTTTCTACTAGGCACCTACGCAATGTGCCTGATGGTATCATTGTCTACCTGCAACTACTTGGTAGGTGCGCACCTATGCGCAGTTATTCACCAGCGACTGCAATGCTGGCGGGCCGCGCTTCTGTAGCGTTGGCGTGTCGCCCTTCTGCTACGCTAGCAGGCTATCCTTCTGCTACGCTAGCAGGCGATCCTTCTGCAGCATTGGCAAACCGATCTGAAGCTGCACTGGAAATTCGCCTTGCAGAATGCTTGCTAGGTGTTGCAATGCCCTCCTCACACATATCGACTAGCATGCCTCATTTTCGTACTTCTTTCTGGCGTAGTCCATCTGGCACGTAAAATTGACCTGCATGACATAGCACATATGGCAAACGGTCGGCACCGTGGACGACCTGGCACCTGCGCAATGTGCGTGACGATGCACAACGGTGCAACTGTCTACCTGCACCTACTTGGTAGGTGCGTAGATGTGCGCTCATTCTCACATGTGTGTGGAAAACTGGCAAGCCGCCTTACTGCAGCATCAGCAAGATGCCTTGGTGCAAAGATGGAAGGCCTTCCTCTTGCTGCGTTGGCCACGTTCGTTCAGAGCCCTATATTGGAGGTTTTGTGCTTGCATGTGTGTGCCAAAGCTTGATCTAGGTACTTGTGCACATGTGCTATGCTTGTCGTAAGAATTGGCTCGAGTTTCTATTGCCTACGTTGGAAGAATGATGAATACAATGGCAAAACAAATCAACAACGGTTCGGCGAAGCTGGATGGCAGCTTGACAATGATGCAGCTGAGCACTTTGTGACCATCGTACAAAGTCGGTTTGCCGACTCTACAGCACGTCAGCCTGCTAGCGTTGCAGCAGCATGTGACCATGTGCTAACATGTGCGCCCTAACCATAGTTTTGCGGTAAAATTAAGAAGAGTTTTGAGAAGAGCAATAATGGAGGTCTTCCAGTCGATTTAGTAAAGAGGACATTGCAACACAGAACATGCAAGCTATGAGGCAAACTGGAAGCGCAGGATTAGAGCAGCCTGCCAACAGTGCAGAAGGGCGGCTTGCAGACGCTGCATTCGCAGGTGAATATCTGCGCACATGTGCGCACATACAAAGTTGGTCCAGGTCGACGGTTGTATCGTCACACACATTGTGCATGCTGTCAAACTTATATGCTATAGTCTGTGTAGGCTTTAGCGGGGTAGACAATATGGGGTACAACATTTCTAGGTTTTCCTACTTGTACCGACCTCTTTCCTAGTTCATTCATCCCTCATTTCTTGACATGGTATAGAGCAGGTTCCCTAGTGGGAACGCTTCCTTGGGCCCACCACTGAAAACTTTTTTTTTCTGACCGGAGCGCCAGTCGCTCCTGCTCGAGGCGCGCCTTGTGGGCCGCCCGTCTGTCGAGCTCTCTTAGAGGCCCCTCTTGCCAGCCCCGTCCGCCTCCTCCCCCTCTACGCGGCCTCGTTGCCACCCCTAGCGGCCCCGTCGCCGCCCCTACTGCGGCCCTCTCGCCGCCCTAGCGGCCCCGTCGCCTCCTCCCCCTCTACGCGGCCCCGTCGCCGCCCCCTAGCGGCCCCGTTGCCCTCCTCCCCCTCTACGCGGCCTCGTCGCTGCCCCTACGCGGCCCCGTCGCCGCCCCTAGAGGCCCCGTCGCCGCTCCCCTCCCTACGCGGCCCAGTCGCCGCCCCTAGCGGCCCCGTCGCCGCCCCTACCCCGGCCCCGTCGCCGCCCCCTAGCGAGCAGCCGAGTGGCCGAGCTGCCCAGCAGCCCGAGCCGCCGAGCCGCCCAGCAGCCGAGTCCCCCCAGCAGGACAAGCCGCCCCTGGAGCAGCCGCCACTGCAGCAGCCGCCCCTGCAGCAGCTGCCCCTGGAGCAGCCGCCCCTGCAGCAGCCGCTCCTGGAGCAGCCATCCCTGCAGCAGCCGCCCCCTGGAGCAGCCGCCACTGGCAGCAGCCGCCCCTGGAGCAGCCGCCACTGCAGCAGCCGCCCCTGCAGCAGCCGCCCCCTGGAGCAGCCACCCTGCAGCTGCCGCGGAGCTCTCACCCTACAGTGGTAGCGGCCTCGCCGTTGCCGCCGTCGTACGCCTGCCCTTCTCGCCACTGGTGAGCACTGCCCTGCCCGTACTGCTGTTACTACTGCTCTTGCTGCTCCTCCTCTTTCTACTGCTACTGCTGCTCCTGGCGTGGCCAGATGCAGCTCCAGCGTCGCCCCCGTGAGTCCCTCACCCCCAACAGCTTTGTGAGTGGTACGCTAGTTGGGGTTGTCGGGGTGGCCGTAGTGGGAGTCGTTCTCGAGTGCAGTAGTTCCACAGCTGCTTGTAGTGGCCAGGTGCAGAATGCAAGCGTCGCCCACGTCAGTCCCTCACCCCCCCAACAGCTACGTGAGTGGTACGCTCAGGGTAGAGGGTCGCTGAGTAGTGCTCGCTGCCCGTACGTTATTAGCACGGGTGTCCGGACTGGTCAGCCTTGCGAGTCGACGCGGTCACACAGAGTCCCGCTGCTTCGCCATCCCGAGCGACGCTTGTCGTACGGAGTTTAGCGACGCGGCTGAGCTCCCCTGAATGGGTGGAGCTGCTTAGGCTGCGGGTAGATATCTACACTCTTGACTATGATGCTCTCCTCACTGCCATGTATGCATTGCCCTACTAGTGAATGAGGGTGACTGTTATCTGTGTGTTCCGCATGACCCGGGCATTGAGGCTGCTGCTCTAGGTGCTGGTGAGGCTGCTGCTCTAGGTGCTAGTGCGTCTGCTGCCCTAGGTGCTGGTGAGTCTGCTCTCTCAGGTACTACGTCGGCTCAGGCCTTACACACCCTTCACCTTGACTTGGGTGCTTCCTGCTCCTTCTTTCGAGACCGCACCACGCTTACGCCGCTTAGTCGGCCGGTTGCAGTCCTCCCTGGCCGACCCCTGTGGGGGTCCTGTCCTTGCTAGCTTCTCCACTGTCTTACCGTGCCCGACAGCCCCCTCTGGCACCCTGCACGGTCTCTACCTCCCCTCGTTCTCTACGAACTTAGTGAGTGGAGCTTGACCTACAGGATAGGGGGGTTGACCAGCTCACTCCTGCGAGTCAGCGGGTGCACCCACTGCACGTGTGCTCGGACAGGCCGAGACTTGGCCACGTTCACCCGTCGGCCGGGGTCGAGCCTGTACACACTCACTACTATGTCTCCTCCGGCTGCTGAGTCTGGTCAGGTAGCTGCGTCAATTCAGGTGTTTTGCTGCAGCGTCCAGGTCTGGTCCTGAGTCTGCTCCCTGCTCGTGTCGTCTCCTGTCCCACCAGACTCTCCTCTGGCACACCGCCTAGGTCACCCCTCCCTGCCTCGTCTCTGAGGCATGGCCTCCCATGTCTTGTCTCTGGTCTCCCCCGGTCTCTCCCTCCCCTACCTCCGGGGCCTGCCCCTACTTGCGTCCCCTGCGTCGAGGGGCGACAGTGCGCCGCCCCTCCACTCCTCCGAGTTTCCTCCGACAGAGGCTCCGCTGCAGACTCTCTACATGGACGTGTGGGGCCCCGCCCGCGTCCGTGGCAAGGGGCACGAGCGTTACTTCCTGCTGGTGGTTGACGACTACTCGCGTTACACCACAGTCTTCCCCTTGCGCAGCAAGGGCGACGTCACTGAAGTGTTGATGAGTGGATCCCGCGCAGCTCGTCTCCAGCTCAGAGAGAGTTTTGGCTCGGACTTTCCTGTTCTGCGTCTGCGCTCAGACCGAGGCGGGGAGTTTTCCTCTGCCCGTCTGGGAGCCTTCTGTCGTGCACAGGGCATCCGCCAGACTTTCACGCTTCAGGCCTCTCCACAGCAAAATGGGATTGCTGAGCGCCGCATTGGCATGGTCATGGACGTCGCTCGTACGTCCATGATCCATGCGGCTTCCCCCCATTTTCTGTGGCCGTTTGTGGTTCAGTACGTAGCGCATCAGCTCAACCTCTCGCCCCGGGTCTCCTTGCCAGAGACCTCCCCCACCCTGCGGTGC